AATTACTATTAGCCAGGGAGGCAATGAGTTCCAATCTTTTGTTAATAGAACATGAAATACGTTAGAGGTTAAGACTGAAGACTGAGAAAATACTATTAAGATACTGCAAGAATGAAGACTAAAGCTTATAAATACATTGACAATGGGAATAACGGTTTAAAAGATTTCATTAAGGTAGTATCAGGAGAACCTAATGCCAGGCTGGCTAAGAGTCAAAGGAGAGTGATAAGTAAAATATCATGGATGCAGGCACGGGGCAGTGGCTCACGCCTGTAATCCTAGCAATTTGGGAGGCCAAGACGGGTGGATTGCCTGAACTCAGGAGTTCAAGACCAACCTGGGCAACACAGGGAAACCCCATCTCTACCAAAATACAAAAAATTAGGTGGGCATGGCGGCATGCGCCTGTAATCCTAGCTACCCAGGAGGCTGAGACAGGGGAATAGCTTGAACCTGGGAGTTGGAGGCTGCAATGACCCGAGATCGCACCATTGCACTCCAGCCTGGGTGACAGAGCGAGACTCCAACTCAAAAAAAAAAAAAAAAAGAAGTTCATGGATGTAATTTCATGTTTGATAAAAAGGAAAGATAAAGAGAGAAATACATTTCAACAGAGAAATAACTCTATGCTTTTCTATTTTAATGATACAGTAAACCACTGACCTTCTGGAGATCCAAGTCCTACATCCTGATAAGAACTTATTCCTAAATACCAGTATAATATAAGGTATAACAGGCACTGCTCCATGTCATGAGAAAGGGAAAACAAAGTCATGTATGAGATGTAGATGCTTGCTGATCAGTTGGGCTCTTACTACCCAAATAAATAGAATTCAACCAGCCTCAACACACACAATAAAAATTTTTGCCTTTCTAAAATCATAGATTACAAGTTAGGAACTTTGAAAGTCACTATCAAATTATGAAAATCACAAATGTTAGCCTAGGGGTGGTGGCTCACACCTATAATTCCAGTGCTTTGGGAGCCTGAGGCAGGCGGATCACCTGAGGTCAGGAGTTCAAGATCTGCGTGGCAAACACAGTGAAACCCTGTCTCTACTTAAAAAAATACAAAAATTAGGCAGGCACCTGTAATCCCAGCTACTCGGGAGGCTAAAGCAGGAGAATCACTTGAGCCTGGGAGGCAAAGGTTGCAGTGAGCCAAGATCGCGCCACTGCACTCCAGCCTTGGTGACGGAATGAGACCCAGTCTCAAAAAAAATAAAAATCACAAATGTTAAGAACACAAATAGGCCTGGCGTGGTGGCTCACGCCTGTAATCTAAGCACTTTGGAGGCCAAGGTGGGAGGATCACCTGAGGTCAGGAGTTCAAGACCAGCCTGACCAACATGGTAAAACCTCGTCTTTTAAAAAAAAAAAAAAAAGTTAAAAAGAAAAGAAAAGAACACAAATGATGAGAGTCTATGGTGGAAATGTTGTACAAAAATGGAAATGCAGAGCTAAGGAAAGAGGTTATGCCTAAAGAGACTCAGCTCACTTTACAAGGATGTTCTGTGACACAATGCCATAAAGAGGACTGCAGACCCTTGTTCTGCGTCCTCAGCATCTACAAATAGGGTGAGCCTACCAAATAGAGTACAATAAAGGATCAAGCTAAGGACAGAGGACATGTCCTCAAGGAACATTTAGGGAACGGGAAGAGAAAACAGACAAAGACACACAAGAGAGCAGTCAGAGAAGCAGTAACAGAATGGATATAATAATATGAAAAAAGAGAAAAAAAATGTCAAGAAGGAAGACACAATCAACAGTGACAAGTAGTTCACAGAGGTCGGAGAAGATGAGGGAATAAGACTATCAGATTTAGTCATTTAAAGGTTCCCAGGACTTTTACATATTTTTCTCTGTAACTATTTCACAATGAAAACTTTTCACAAGTAGCCATGTACTATACACACACATACACACACACACACACACACATATATATTTTTTTTTAATAAAGACAGGGTTTCACCATGTTGGTCGGGCTGGTCTTGAACTCCCGATCTCAGGTGATCCGCCCGCCGTGGCCTCCAAAGTGTTTGGATTACAGGCGTGAGCCACCTCGCCCGGCCCATGTACTATATTTTAATTTGAAAAACAAGCCAGGCACTCATGCCTGTAATCCCAGAACTTTGGGAGGTCAACAGGGGAAAATCACTTGAGCCCAGGAGTTCAAGGCTAGGCTTGGCAACATGGTAAGACACCACCTTTACAAAAAATAAAAAAATTAGGCCAGGCATGGTGGCTCACGCCTGTAATCCCAACACTTTGGGAGGCCAAGGCAGGCAGATCATCTGAGGTCAGGAGTTCGTGACTAGCCTGGCCAACCTGGTGAAATCCCATCTCCACTAAAAATATAAAAATTAGCTAGGCATGGTGGTGCATACCTATAATCCCAGCTACTTGGGAGGCTGAAGCAGGAGAATCACTTGAACTCAGGAGGCAGAAGTCGTAGTGAGCTGAGAATGTGCTACTGCACTCCAGCCTGGGCAACAGAGCAAGACTCCATCTCAAAAATAAAAATAAATAAATAATTAGCCAGGCATGATGGTACATCATGCCTGTGGTCCCAGCTACTTGGGAGGCTGAGGCAGAAGGATCATTTGAGCCTGGGAGTTCAAGGCTGCTGTGAGCTATGACTGCATTAATATACTCCAGGCTGGGTGACAGAGTGAGACTCTGTCTCAAAAAGAAAAATAAGTTTTAGTAACCATCACGGTACATTCACACAATGGAAAATTACACAGCAATGAAAAAGAACTGTTTCTACAAGCAACAATATGGATGAGTCTCAAATGTGATCTGAATGAAAGAATTGGGTCACAAAAGAGTACAAACTATGATCCCATTTATATGAAGTATTAGTTTAAAACAAATCTCTAGTGACACATGTGGAGAGAGTGGTTATATCTGTAAAAGGGCAGTGCTAGGAGAAAGCACAGGGAGCATTCTAGGGTAATGGGAATGTTCTCCATCCCAATGTGAGTTGTGATCACACAGATACTCATTCTGTAATATTTCATGGACTGAATGAACCTTTGATTTGTCAAACCTCAATAAAAAAAGTAATGCCACACAAAAAAAGGTTTTGGTGACCTTAAAGACTGAATACAAACTCATTTTTCAAGAAGGCTGCTGGGGAAACAAAGAAGAGATAACAAAGTAGTTTGGGTAGGTTACACAATTCAGGCAAACATTGCTTTGTTTTTATTTGTGATATAAAACAGAGAATAACAAGGGTCTAAAGCAAACAAAAGAGGATGAAATCAAAGACGAAAGTAGAGAAGTTAGCCTAGAAGAGGAGGATGAGTACTTCTTTCTCTGAGACTGAAGCTAAGGATGAGGAAACACAAAAACCCTAAAATAAAGAGGAAGAAAAAATCGAGTAATCTTGAACTTTTTCGTGAAATATGCAGTAAGGTCAACTGGACCAGGTAAATCGAGACAGGAAAGGATCTGGACTTGAAGTTCATTTTACAAGTTTTGACTAGATGATACTGTAGAGAATGTAAAAGACAAATATTAGGCACATGGGGGAGTAAATTACAGCAAGAGGACAATGCTCAGGAGCCAGAAGCAGGAGCAGAGATGGTCAATGGTGCAGTCTGCAGTCTCCTCAGGGCTCAGTGAGGAATAAGAGGTGGAAGTACAAAAGGCAAAAGTCCAAGGGCTAGGTACCTAGCATGGTATTTAATTTTAAAAGCGTCTAAAGGGCCAGGTATGGTGGCTTATGCCTATAATCCAGCATTTTGGGAGGCCAAGGTAGGTGGATTACCTGAGGTCAGGAGTTGGAGACCAGCCTGGCCGACATGGTGAAACCCCGTCTCTACTAAAATTAGAAAAAAAATTAGCCAAGCGTGGTGATGCACGCCTGTAATCCCAGCTACTGGAGAGGCAGAGGCAAGAGAATCACCTGAACCTAGGAGATGGAGGTTGAAGTGAAACGAAATCATGCCACTGCACTGAAGACTGGGTGACAGACCCAGACTCCGTCTCAAAAAAAACAAAAAAATGTCTAAAGAAAATGCTAATTTACCTGAGAGGAAAGAGATAAGAGACCTATAAGAAGTCTTAAAACATTCAAGGATGAAGTCACTAGGGTCCTGAATAGAGGTGAACAAAAAGAAAGCGGAGGAGGAACTAGAGTTCACTACCACATAACACTTTTCTGTAAACCCAACAAGACCAAGGATCACTTATTCTCCTTTCACTAAACTTACTATCGCTACTAGTGGCAGCTTCTCCTACCTGATAAAACTGACCTTTATCCCCTACTCATAAGTACACCTACTCTTGACTAATAAATTATATAAACACATCCTGTTCATTCGGAAACTCCATGAATATTTGTATGCTGCTGTGTTTTACCAATAATGTGTTTTCAGTCATAAACTAAAAGGCAAACCCTAGATCTGCGAATTCTGTTCACAAAATTGGACTTAAGATTGCTCACACGTAGGTGTTTCAAGTGCTTTCTTGTGAAATAGATGGTTAGTAAAGGGAGCCTTAACAATAATCCTGAACACACTGGTACAAAAGCATAATGATGGCCAAATCAGAGAATGCTTGGGCGTGTCATCCGTTTTTATAATTTTAAAGACAACCTCTAGGAAACAGAATAACACTATATCAAATTGACTTTCCCCATCTTACACTACTCCTATGGATAAGTCCTCAATGTCTCTTTAGTAAGCCTACTCGTTGCAGCTCACACACACAGCCCACATTCCTGCGTCCTTTCGCCCCAACTAAAACCCCTGAGTACCCCTTGCACCAATTTTTCATTCTTCTACTCTCCCATTTCCAATTCAACCCCAGGCCACCACTTCCTTTTCTCCACTCCCCATTTCTCTGCCTCCCCAGACCTCCCACTCCTCCCCGCGAACTATTCAGACCCCACCCCTCCAGCGCTCCAGCCCCAGTCCTCCAGCTGGAGATCCCCTCCCCCACGGCTTCCATTCAGGTTCCCCCTCCCTGATCACAACCCGCCCTACCTGCTCCTTGCCCTCCGGCCCCGTGGGCCCGGTCCGCTCCTCCAGCCGCGGCCTCCCGGGCGGCGCTCGCCGGCGCGGGGGCAAGAGCTGGGGCAGCTCTGCCGCCCGCTGAACTCCATCCTCCCGACGGTCAGACGGCGGCGGCTGGGGTCGGTCGCGGCAGCGGCTCCGCTTCATATCTGCAGCTGGGCCCCGCGGGCGTCAGGGCCGCGACTGTCCCGGCTTCGCACTGCCCCGGGCCGCAGGGCAGCCGCGCCAACCACCGCCCGCGGCCACCATAGCCGGGCGGGCACCCGAAGCCACCGACCCCAGCCCGCGGCGCCTTCGAGCCTCCTGGGGCCTCGGGCGCCGTGACCTCCTTGGCGCTCCTCACGGAAGCGACAGCATCGCCGCCGCCTCGCCTTCTCCCACCCGGCACACGCTGGGCCGGTCACCAGCCGCCGGCTGAGTCGCTTGCCTCCAGCCCGCCTCCGGGCGGCCCCGCCCCTCGCGCGCGCGCACCGGGAGCCCGCCCGCCACCTCCGGCCGCGCGCCGCTTCCCGCGCACGCGCCAGCGAACGGTCGCGAAGTACCCGCCCGTGGCTCTGGCGCGCTGTCCGAGGACCAGCAGGGGGCGGGGCTCTCGGCGCGCTGGCAGCGGTTGCGGACTCCCACTGATTCTTTCATTCATCCATTCATGAAACTGTGCTGGGCCAAGCTCAGCGCTGAGGACCCAAAAATGAATTCGAGTAGATCAGTGACCTCAAGGAACTAGGCGGAGAGGGGCCAGGAGCAGGAAGGAGACAAAATAACACAATTAATGAATAAAACGCTATTATAAATGATATCTTTGCTAAGAGTAGAACAACAACAAAAAAGAATAGAACGCTACTGCATGCCTTTTTATTTAGTGCCTGCTAATCCTCACCTAATTCTCACATCGTACTTAGGAGGCAAATCTGTGCATTCTCATATTACCGATAAGGACACTGAGGCGAAATGAAATGCACCAGGTCACTCAGCAAATCAGAGATCAAACTAGATGGAATTCTGGCTCTTCTGTTCTTTTCCACCGTGTCTGTTCTTTCCCAACAGTAAGACAGTGTGGAAACGCCTATGAAAGTGGAAAAAGTGATGGATTCCTTCTGGAAGAAGGGGAGGACAAAAAAGGCATACAATGAAGTCATCGTGTAGAGCCCAGCCCAGTCTGCTATGGCCTGGGTAGCCTGACCTGCTGCCTGCAGTTACTCATCTGCTCAGCAACATGTGGTGGTAGCTCAGTCCTGGCCTCCCTCTGGCTTTCAGCTGGTCTGCCACATGTTGTATTTTTCCTCTTTTGACCTAGAAGCCTTGCCTAAAGCCTTCACCCACTTGTCCTGGGCCTCCTCCCTGACCCTTTTCTGAGTAGTAATAATAGCCACTAGACAGGCGTGGTGGCTCATGCCTGTAATCCCAGCACTTTGGGAGGCCGAGGATGGTTGATCACAGGGTCAGGAGTTTCAGACCAGTCTGGCCAACATAGTGAAATCATCTCAACTAAAAATACAAAAAAAAAAAATTAGCCAGGTGTGGTGGTGTAAGCCTGTAATGCCATCTACTCAGGAGGCTGAAGCAGAAGAATCGCATGAACCCTGGAGGCAGCGGTTGCAAGGAACCGAGATTGCACCATTGTACTCCAGCCCAGGGCAACAGTTCAAGATTCCATCTCAAAAAAAATCTAGCCAACACTATGGAGTACCCACTGGATACCACACAGTATGCATTCAATTCATATACACACAAGAGGTAAGTTGTATTTCCATTTTGCATTTGAGGAAATAGGCTCAAGTTATATAATATGTTCAATATCACACAGCTTATAAGTGCAGAGCCAAGACTCAAACCCAGGTCTGTCAGATCCGGACAGTAAGACAGTGTGGAAATGCCTATAAAAGTGGAAAAAGTGATGGATTCCTTCTGGGAGGAGAAGAGGACACATATAACCAATGTAATTTACAGCCTGTCACCAGCCTGCTCCTCAATTCCCTATCCCAGTTTCTCACTACCCATCCGGTTGCCTCAACCAGAAACCTGGAAATCATCCTGGACTCTGTCCTTGTCCTCCTTCCCTCACATCCAATAAATGAACAAGTCTTATTGCCTCTATAACCTCACTATCTCTTCAATCTGCCTCCTATTTCCATCCCATTGGCACCACGTCAAGTCTCATCTTCCCTCACCTACTTGACTGGGAAAGCCTTCCAGCTGGTTCACTTATACCCAGTTTCATTGTCTTCAAACTCATCCTTCAAAAAGCCCTCACAAGAATCTTTCTATATGTTACTCACTTGCTTAAAACAGTTAAATGAATTTCAAGATGAAGTGTAAACTAACTATGGCAGGCAAGACCATCCAAATCTGGCCTCTACCTCCCTCTCCTTCTCTTACTAATCCATGCTGTGACAACTACTTATAATTATACCAGCTATGGCCGGGCATGGTGGCTCATGCCTGTAATCCAAGCACTTTGGAGGCCAAGGTGGGTGGATCACCTGAGGTTGGGAGTTCAAGACCAGTCTGACCAACATGGTGAAACCCCGTCTTTAAAATAATAATAATAATTATTATTATACCAGCTACATGTACAGGGTCTGTCACGTCCTTGGTTACAAACAATAGAAACACACTCTGACCATCTTAAGCCTCAGGGGTGATTTATTAGAAGCCTACGTAGAATGGATCACAGAGCTAAACACAGATAGGAGAAAAAAGCTTATGAAACTGGCAAGAAACAAGAAGCCCCCACAGACTCCACATCAGGGACAATCTCAGGACTGCCATCACAAACACCAGGCAATGTGCTGTGCTGCTACTGTGCACTCCTGCAAAGTAATTCTAACCTTCTTTTCACAGTCGTATCACCATTACAGATCAACACAGTCTCTGGCAAGAGAATCCACTGACTCAGCTTTGGTAACTTAAAGACCAAAGCCCATTCTACCTTCTCATCTTTCATATTGGGACTGCGAGAGTCATTGCTCAGAAAGACTCTCAGCTACTCCTCCTGCTCTACCTGCTCCCAGTATTTTACGCCTTTGTGTAATCCCTTCCTATGAATGTAGATGAGACCTGTGACTTGTTTCCAACCAATAGAATACAACAAAAGTAATGCGATATCATTTCCTTGATTATGTTACACTACCTAAGACTGTGTCTTGCTAGAAGACTCACTCTCACACTCCTAATAGCCTTGACAATGCAAGGTGTCATTCTCTGAACTGCCTATGGAGAGGTCCATGTGGCAAAAAACTACAGACAACCTCTAGGACAGCCTCAGGCCCAACAACCCCAAAACAAAATGAAAAACTCTGAAGTGTCCAATCCTATAACCAGAAGGAAATGAGTTCTCCCAAAACTGAGACTGAGCTTGGAAACAGGCCCTTTTCCAGTTGAGCACCCAGATGGGAACACAGCCCACACAACTTGGTGGAAGCCTGATGAGACCCTGAAGCACAGAACCCAGCTAAGATATATCTAGACAGAAACTGTGAGATAATAGATGCATGTTATGTTAAGCTTCTAAGTTTGTGGTAATTATATGTCTGTATTACATGGTAATACAAAACTAATACAGTCAGATTCTTTTTTTTTTTTTTTT